TATCCTGGATCCTCCAGGTGGTCCCAAGAGTATCTCACAAGTCCATGAGAGTCGAAGAGACAATGTAGAAGAAGTCTGAGAGGCCTAAGCAATGCTAGCTTAAAGATGGAAAAACCAGGCAAATGCAAACCATGAGAAGGAAATAAATTTCACTCGTGCCATGAATATATATCTGCCCCGGACACTCCCAGAAAGAAAGACAACCATGCCGACAGCTGGATTTCAGCCTTGTAAAACCCTGACCAGAAAACCAGCCATGCTGTTCTGGTCTTCTGTCGTATAGAACTATTATGTGCCAATAAATGAGAAGTATTTTTAAGTTTGTGGTCATTTGTTAAGGTAGCAGTAAAAAATTGGAGCGAAACAGTTAACTAAATAAACTTCACCATTCATATTTCAAAGTCAACAAATTACTGATAATATTTCCTCTAGCAATGGAACATCATCCAGGTCTTTTTCCTTCCAGTTTCCTCTGGATTGTTACATCCATCTCTCCCTGTCTGCCCCCATACACCCTGCCCCCCACCCCCACAACTTGCCTTCCTGGGGTCACAGCACAATCCCAGTCCACCATTACCAATTGTCTAGAAATGCCTGTCAATAATCATCCATGCCACTCATATTTTGTAAATAAGGAAATGCTGATAGGATGTATGGCATATCTCGACAGTTTAATAAATCTGGTATAAAATGCCTGTAGGACTTAAATTTCTGGCTCATTATACATTGACCTAAAACCATCTGCATTCTCAGATATTAATTTAGAAAAGGCAAGGGGAATCTGAACTGTATTTTATTTCATTTTTATTGGTTTTATTTTAATATGAAGCCCAATTTCTGTCAAAAGAGTTTTTCTCATACCCAAGGTGTTTTTAGCTACTCAGGATGAGAGTGCTGAGGTCATATTGAATTCATTGTTCTCTTTGACTGCAACTTCTAACTGACCCCTCCACCCCACTATGAATTCAGTTAATTGCTAGTTCATTTGGATCCTACCTCCAAGCTGTCCCTGTATCCTATAAGAACTTTCCAGTCCCTAGATGATGCTCTCCTATCTCCTTTTCCTACTCCTGCAGTGGTGTGCTGGGTGTGGGTGAACTTCACTCTCTTACATGTGAACTTCACTGCCTGTTGAACCCAGTTTCCATTCCTCACTCATTCTAGGCTCACCGGGCCCTAATCAGCCCTAACTCCCACTCCATTCAAGGGCTTATCTCCTTCCTCAAGATGAACAAGTTTCTCTTGAAAATGCCCACCTCCACTTCTTGCTCTGTCCAGTCTTCAAGGCCCATCTTAAATGTCTCTTCTCTGTGAAATTATCTCTCTCTCCCCTCCCTTCACCTACCCCAGACACCATCTCTACTTTCTTCGTATCCCTAAACTAGCATCATTGACCCTAAACATCTGTTTGGATTGTTGAAAAGCTTGGGTTTTAAAATGAGATTTAAAGGCTATGGTTTTGGAGGGTTTTTTTGTTTGTTTAATCATGCACTGTTTTGGTTTATTAGAAGTGAGTTATACCAAAGCCAGGGTTTGGTTCGTTTGTTTGGGGAAGGAGGAAGTGTCACTGGTATTTGTGATGTGGGAACTGTAATTACAGTTAATTTAGAGGCTTTCTGCTGACTGGGCTGATGTTCTGTGACTCAGATTTGCTTAGATGCTACACTGTTTCCCATTCATAACCTTACTTTAAAATGTTAAATTATTTTGCAGGAGTTTAGAAAAGTAGATGTATGTGGGGAGTAGGTAGAGGGAGTCAGGGGTGGAGGGGTCAAGATAGGATGTCAGGAAAGGAAAGAAAGAGATTGCCAAAGTCAAAAAAACTATATGCGATATGTCTAGACAACATCAAGAAAATGTGCAATATAAAATCATACCTATATAACTTTATGAAAAATTGTATGAACACATGAGCAATGACCCAAGAAAATACAACTTAAAAGATCATAAGTGAGCATTCTGGAGACATACTATGTTGGGTTTTCACATGGCTAGCACAGGTGTCATCTTGGGTAGGTCCTGAATCTCTACCATTTTCAGTTTTATATTCAGTGCCTCCCTTTATGATGTTGTGAGAGTGACATGAGTTTCTACATAAAAAGCACCTAGAATTGGGTCTGACACTGAGGGACACCCCCTACCTGGGTACCATGGGGAGATAATAAAGGGTTCTTTGCTACCTGCAGAACATTTTTGTAGCTTCAGTTTTCTTGCTGTCATTCCTCATCTTATCTATCTCTTTTTCCCCTCCTTTTGATTTTCGTCTCACTGATTTCTGTCTTTCTGTTCCTTGTACCTCAGTTTGTATTATTATTAGTAGTAGTAGTATTACTACTACTACTACTACCACCACCACCACCACCACCACCCGGGATTCAACCAGGGGTGCTTAACCACTGAGCCACATCCCCAGCTGTTTTTTATATTTTATTTAGAGCCAGGGTATTGCAGAGTTCCTTAGGGCCTTGCTAAGTTGTTGAGGCTGACTTTAAACTTGTGATCCTCCTGCCTTGGTCTCTTGAGCTGCTGGGATTACAGGTGTGCGCCACCATACCTGACCTCAGTGTGTATTTTTGAGGTGTATTATGGAGGATGCCAAAAAGTTTCTTGACATTTCATGCTAGATTTTGATAGAAATAATTTATAAGAAGTGTAGTTTTTTAATGTATTTTTTAAATTTATATATGACAGCAGAATGCAATTCAATTCATATTACATAAATAGAGCAGAATTTTTCATGTCCCTGGTTGTACACAAAGTAGAGTCACACCATTTGTGTTTTCATACATGTACTTAGGGTCATGATGTCCATCTCATTCCACTGTCGTTCCTACCCCCATTCCCCCTCCCTACTCCTTCCTCCCCTTTGCCCTATCTAAAGTTCATCTAAAGATCCTCCATTCCTCCCATGCTTGCCCCCCCCCATGCTCATTATGAATCAGCATTTTTATATCACAGAAAACATTCTCCATTTGGATTTTGGGGGATTGGCTAACTTTACTTAGCATGATATTCTCCAACTCCATCCATTTACCTGTGAATGCCATGATTTTATTCTCTTTTATTGCTGAGTAATATTCCATTGTGTATATATGCCACATTTTTTAATCCATTCATCTATTAAGGGCATCTAAGTTGGTTTCACAGTTTAGCTATTGTGAATTGTGCTGCTATAAACATTGATGTATCCCTGTAGTATGCTGTTTTTAAGTCCTTTGGGTATAGACCAAGGAGACGGACAGCTGGGTCAAATGGTGCTTCATTCCCAATTTTCCAAGAAATTTCCATACTGCTTTCCATATTGGCTGCACCAATTTGCAATCCTGTAAGCAGTGTATGAGTGTACCTTTTTCCCCACATCCTCACCAAAAAAGTGTAGTTTTTTTTCTTTGAGTTATCTTTATGCTTATTCTTCGTCTTATTCTGAAGTTTTTTTTTATAGTTGTATGCCATTGGTTTATTTATTTTTCACTTACCCATCCTCAAATAAGAAAGTGAATCTCAGGAATTTTCTTAGACAAAGAAGAAAATCAATAGTTAAATGAAAGAAATAGTTAAAATAGGATATCACAAAAAAAGAATTCATTTTAAGTCATTTTGTATGACCTTTAATCATAAATATATTTTATGCACTTATCTTTAATTTAGACCATAAGCTCTTTTCTGAGTTCTGCTAATTGCAGTGTCTGTTGTCATCTGAGAGCAATCCTGCCCATATCTAAGATTTCTAGCTTCATGTCCTTCAAGTGAAATGGGAGCTTAAAGAGACTCATGAAACAAACTGAATGTACAGTCTCCTTAAATTTTTATACTTGTTTTCTATGGTTTCACAGTTGTCTTGTATTTTGAAAGCAGTTCTTTTAGCAACTTTCCAAAGCATTGAATTTGAGTTCTTATAGAAATAACAACTTAATTATTTTGTGTTCATATTCTCTTGGTTTATGTCACATTTAATTACATAATTGAAATAATGAGTATAAAGTGTCAGAGTGGGGCTGAGAATAACCATACTGAATTCTGTGAGCATCAATTCAACCAGCAATACAAGTGAGCAGAGGGTCCCAAAGGGGGCGCCAGTGAGTCATGAAGGTTCTGCTGTGTGGGCGTTGGGCAGTAAGGGTTGCAGAGAGGATGGCAACCATCCCTGAACACACAGAGACCACCAGATGGAAATCAGTTAAGGAACTTCCACAAGCAGTGGTTCTCATACTTTGGTGTGTATCAGAATTATCTGGATGGTTTACTAACACAGAGATGACTGTGACAACTTAGAATTTCTGGGCCATCTCTCTGATTTCTGTCTACTACCTGGGATTCAAGCAGGGGTGCTTAACCACTGAGCCACATCCCCACATGGGGGTGGGTGGAGCCAAAGAATTTGCTTGACTTTCTAACAAGCTTCAGGGGATGCTGCTGCTGCTGGTCCAAGGAACACATTTGGCAAACCATTGAATTACACCAACCTGGACAGTGTGGATGGTGATAGCATACACAGGGCAGAAAGTCAGGTATTATTTCTCCATTTGTCTTTACCCACCTTGTGGTGGATATTCACCCACTGATCAGACACTAGGTTTTCTATTCCTCTTAGCGCTTGATGTTCTGTTGAAACCTTGTGTGTGTATGTGTGTGTGAGTGTGTGTGTGAGTGTGTGTGTGTAAGAGAGACAGAGAACCCTAGTTACATTATTTGGAAATTGTTGGAGAATGTGATGATGAGGGCTTTTAAAGATTTTGTGTTCACTGTTTTTCAGCTTTCTTGAAAAAAAGAGAAAAGTACCAGTTCTTTCAACGGTGCCTGCTCTTTTTAAGTCACAAGTCCTGCCGTCTCTTCACAGGGGGGAACAAAACACCCTCACTTCTGCATGTCAGAAAGCTCGTGCTTGGCAGGAACTTACAGCTGTGGGTGGGAAGGCGGCCGTGTGGCCTGTAGTCAGCGTGCTGAAGACTTTCTCTGAGAATGAGACAGATTATCTGATTGCTCTGTAATCTCCCTTTCAGAACTGGCTGACGGAGCTGGAGATCTTTGCTATAATCTTCTCAGCTGCCATCCACGACTATGAACACACCGGAACTACCAACAATTTCCATATCCAGACTCGGTGAGGATGCTGACATGTTGGAGAAGAGGCGGGATCGGGCAGGGGTAGAGTTTTAGAAGTCAGAGAGGTATTTGTCACCTGTCTTTTACATGGTTACTCTATTTTGAGTTTCTGAAAAAAAGAACATATACACAAAAGATTGGCCTGATCAGCGTCAGGGTGTAAGAAGCCTTCTGCTCTTAATTCTTGTATTTGATTCAGATCTAGCAAGGAAACATTCTCTATTTTAATCGTTCTTTATTTAAAATGTCCTAGGCCTACTCTACCTATTTCTGATAGGTAGTGGGGTATTAGCACAGAGGCCCAGAAGCCATGCAAACTAAATCAGAGACAGGTGATGATTGGACTTTCTGTTGACATCAACAGTAATTGAGCCTTCTTGACCTCTGATCTCTGGGGTTCTGGTGAGTTGCCCTGCTCATTTTCTCTGATTTAATTTCTGTTCAGTGCCTGCACTGTTCTTTGGCACAGGGCTTGGGAAGCTGGGTTGTCTCATGCCGGCCACCTTCACCATGAGCAACCTGTGCATCCTTCCTGATGAACAGCACAGGTAAACACGAACCTCCACTGAGAATAGTACCTGTGGGTCCAAGTGGCCTATTCTAAACCTCCTGATCTTTAATAGACATCCATGATTGATTTCAGTATGAAGGATTTTGATTTTGTTATGCTTTCTTCCCAAGCTGTGGATCTATCCATTCCTTTCCTCCTCTGTGTAAATCTAAAACCCTGCCTTTTCTGGAGGACAGTGTGATGTGGAATTGAACAGAATCTGACAGTAGGGTTAATTGGGCTTTGGTATAAGAACCAAAGAAAGCTTGGATTTGAGGAAAGGTGGTAAGACAAAGAGAAAAATCATGGGGGCAGGGGTTGGATAGTTGAATACTAAATAAATACTTGCTGATTTCACTTGAAAAAGCAGGTGTGTACTCCAGATAGGTTTGTGTTCATTGAATCAATCTACATGTATTTAATGAACTCAATGCTACATTATGAGGCACACATACAAATGACAACATCATCTGGTCTGTTAGGAGGGGCATTCCAGCACAGAGGGAGTAGACAGGAGGGCGGAAGCTCTTTGCTTTAGTTCCTGCTCCTGCCTTCCAGCATGGTGATCTCAGCCACAGGGAAGCAGCCCTTTGTAGTTCTTTTCCAAGGTACTTAGATGGAGGGAACTCCACAGAGTAGCTCTGCTCAATGTGGGTCTGTGGGTGGAATCTTTGCTCTGAGGACAGAGACTGCAATGAAGAGCACCTGCTGCAGGAAGGGTGGGGGGGGTGGTTGGAATGACTGTGGATTTTGCCTGGAGACCAAAACTAAAGGTCACAACTCAAGAAAGCAGCTTCATTACAGGAGGTGAAAAGTAGCTTCCTGCCATGAAATACACACCCATTGGTACCTAACTTACTCAGCAGATGAAAGAGGCCATCTTTCACCAAGGCATTTGTGTGTTTTGTATTATCTCCTTTGGAAAATTTCCAGTGGGTCCCATTAGGCTCCATTTAAAATGAAATTCAAACACTGGTCTTCTTGGACAGAGCTTTATTCAGTGTGTCTGAGTCTATGTGATCCTTCTGCAGAAAACTAAGTCTGTGACTTAGTTTGTCCCTTGATGGACAACATGTTAAGCCTAACACTTCTGAGGTATGTTATCGACATCCCAAAGTTTGGCCAGTGGCAGGTGAAAGCTATCTTGGGAGCACTGGCCCTTCTGTCAGAAGTCCTCACCTCCGTCCCAGCCCTGACACTCAGCCACCATGGGACCCTCAGAAGCCACCTTACAACTCTGCGCTCAGCTTTCTTGTTGAGAAATGAGTGAGCTTTAAAAATCCAAGCCTTCATTTAATTAAAATAAATAAATTCAATTAAAATAATATACAGCTCAGTTTGGTGACATTCAGTTATAAAATGGTCTTAGAGAAAATGACAGCTGTTATATAATTTTGGTTTTTCTTTCCTCCCTCCCTCCCTCCCTCCCTCCCTCCCTTCCTTCCTTCCTTCCTTCCTTCCTTCCTTCCTTCCTTCCTTCCTACTGGAGATTGAACCTAGGGACACTTTGCCACTAAATTGCTTATTGTCCTACTTTTTATTTTATTTTAAGTTGCTTAGGGCTCCACTAGGTTCCCGAGGCTAGCCTTGAATTTGCAATTCTCCTGCAAACTCCAGTGTCACTGGGATTACAGGCATGGGTCACCATGCCCAGCTCTATTCTCTACTCTCAATTATCCACATATGGCTTTTGCATGAAAAAATTTTTAAGATGAAGAGGTAACTTATAGACCATACCCAGCAGGGGATATGTGTTCAGAGACTCACAACTAAAATGAATAAGTTAGTACATTCATTGAATTAAATAAAAATTTTAACTTAAAAGTTATTCCAGAAAATATAAGAAAGTTTGACATAATCCACACTTTAAAAAACCACCTTTGCCACTACTTCAGGTCATTGAGATCTGTTATATAGCTTCTAGAGAATTCATGAGCTGGATGACACAGAATTCAAACACAAATATTGATAGTGAAGGAGCCTACATGCATCTGTTGATAATTTATAGTGTTCCTTTGAGGTTCTGATTTATGCAGATAGCATGAGGGTGGAGATGGTTCCTAAACCTAGGAAGAAGTGCATGTGTACTCCATCCCGTGGGTGTTCCCTGCAAGGATTCCAGGGGAATGTCCTGAACAGTCCTGTGTGGCTCTGTGCAGGTCTGATCCAGCGATTCTATACAACGACAGATCTGTATTGGAAAATCACCATTTGAGTGCAGCCTATCGCCTTCTGCAAGAGGATGAGGAGATGAATATCTTGATCAACCTCTCAAAGGATGACTGGAGGTAAGGATGAGATGTGAGAGATCTGGAGCCAGAGAAGGAACTGTGCAGACAGATGAAATGCACTGCTCTTGAAGAAAGGGCATCCCATTTCAATTTAATTGTTGTAGCTCTCACTTCTGTTTGCAGGTACATCTCTCTTATGTCTAATTGTTTTTTTCTTGTCAAAAGTGTTTGTAAATAGAGGCTATAGACCATGATGCTTCGATCCCATCTGTTTGCTTTTTCCATCTTTACAATGTGTTTCTAATAATGGGTTGGAAAATGGAAGGATTTGGGGTCAAATAATTCAGTGTTGAGCTAAAACTTCTTGAGGAGGAAAACTGGAAAATCCTCTTCCAACAGTATCCAGTTGAGGGTATTTTGCAAAGATTTCTTGTTTGTTAACTTAGAAAACTTGTGTTGCTTTTTAGCTAAGCTTCTTAAATCTGAACTTTATCAGTTAGTGTTTGTGAAAAACACCTTATGTATTTGATTTGGACTCTTAGCGATCTTCTAAAATTTTCTAAGGAAATTATTTTACACTTACAAAAATCCTGAGTACTTATTTCTGTCTCCTAAATGACAGTGTGTGATTTTGGATTTAGGCACTCCTGGGTTTGAATATGGATTGAATCACATAATACATGTCTGACATTGAGGAAGTTAATCTCTTCCAGAAAATAGATAATAACATTTACTCTACAATGTGGTTAGGATTATAATAAATGATATCATCCATTTAAAAGGCTTTGCACACGTTGTGGCAGATATATAACAAACCCACAACTCATTGTAGCTATAAATATGGATCAAGGCATTTTTAAACTTAGAGACAAAACTTCTCCATCCTTTCAATGTTCACTGTGACAGAGAACAGCTTCGCACAGATTTAGAGGCATCGGAGTTTTAAAGTATTGCATGAGGGCTTGTTTAGGTAGTAGATATTCCTGGCCAAGTGACAATCTAACAAATTGCCCCAAAGCTTGCACAATTTGCATTATTGCCTCTAACATACTTTTAAAACATAGCTATGTCACTTTTTTCATCTTTATTTTTGTTTTGGATTTTCTACCTCTCTTTAGCTATAGTTCTCCAAAATTTAGCTGCATTATTTGTGTTTCCATTCTACTGTAACTATGAGCTTCATTCACTCATTCAGTGAGTCTGGTGTAGACACTGCTTCATCCAGCATAAACCAGAATGCATCAGTTCACACCAGGCACATTGCTGCACACCAACCCAATCATCCTTGCTTATCTCTGCATTCTTATTGGTGGATATTTGTGAAGTGCCAGTTGTGAATAACCTGAGTATTTAGTCTAAACAAAGCAAGTTATAAAATCATGTGAATACATAGGTAGAATTAGTGTAAAACATGAACAAACTAGTCTCTTGAAAATACAGTTGATTGAAATCTATTTATGTGCTCGCCTTCCATACCTGTGTTTTCTTATTCAATGCTATGTTGTCTCATAGAGTGAATTTAAGTATTATCTCAAGGAAGGACTGAAATCATGGAATGTCTCAGTTACTGGTGGGAATTTCTGATAGTTATAAACTGTTGTACCATGTTTTGTTTCTACACCTGTTTCTTGGGATTTACATAAAACAAAAATTATAGCTTATGACTTTAAATTACATGATTAAGTATTCTATCTTCATTTAAGGACAGCTTGAAATGTTATTTTGTTATTTTATCATAGTTTATTAGTTTTTAGATACAGTGTGGTATTATCTCATAAATGAAATACTAATTTAGTAATTAGAGCTCTCAGCTAATCACATTAACCCAAAGACAACATATTTTAGCATTCTATGTCTTTCTCAGAAAGAAATTTTAATAGTTGGTAGGTTCTATCAGACTTTTTAGAACCTTTACAAGCAAATGTATTACCAGATATTTATTTCATTTCAAATTGGAATAACATGGAATTCTACTTTTGGCAGGCCAAATAAGCTGTTAATGAACTGATATGCATGCAAATAACAGCTAGAAACCCTGAAAAAAAAGTTTTTATATGACTCTATGACTTGAGGGATTTAGGGAGAACAAAATCAGGCAACTTTTGAATGGATGTCAAAATTTGGAGAATGTGACAAGACAAGGTAAATTTGCTCTTTTTGTAACTTTGTAGGAAATCTCAAGTGAAGATAACACCTTGATATCATATACACACACACACACACACACACACAAACACACAAACACAACTACATTCCATCTATAAGAGATATGCTTCAGATATAAAGATACAAATAAAATGATAGCAATGATATAAATATACCAACAGTAAGTATAAGAAGATAGAGTGGTGATATTAATATCAGGTAAAATGAATTGCAAGAAAAGGAGTATTGCCAAGGAAAGAGAAATTTTTCTGACAATGAAAGAGTTAATTCATCATGAATAACGTATCAATCATAATAAATATCACATAACTACAGATCTCCAAAATATAAAATATAAAAATTAGTAGGATAGACAAGAGAAACATGTATTTCTATAATCTTTGGTCACTATGGATGTAAATTAGAAATCATTAAAAGTATCTGGGAAAATCTCACATAGTTGAAAATTAAACAATACACTTCTAAATAATTCATGGGTCCAAAAAGTAATCACAGGGAAAATTAGAAAATATTTCAAATTTAATGAGAATGAAAATGGCAGCATATTAAAAATTTGTGGAATCCCATTAAGGCAGTGCTTAGAGGAAATTTATAGCTTTAAATGCTCATTTTAGGAAAGGAGAAAGAGCTGATCAAAATGACTTCAAGGAAATAGAAAAAGAAAAGTAAATGCAAAGTAGATAGAAGAAAGGGAATTAGCAATGATAAGTGAAGAAATAAGAAAAACAGAAAACAAATAAAGGCAAAAATTAAAGTTAAATGCTAATACTTTGAAAAGAGCAAAAAAAAAAAAATTGATGTCTCTGATCATACTGAACAATACCAAAGAGAGAGACACCATTACCCATCAGATTCTATAGACACCAAATACATAAGTAAATATTACAGTTTTATCTCAATAACTTTGATAACCTTGATGAAATAGACAAATTCCATTAAAAAGAAGAAACATAAAATCTGAATATTCCTATATCTCTTAAGATAATTGAATTTGTCATTAAAAAAAAAACCCTTCCCACAAAGAAATGTCATCCTTGGATAGTTTCACTGGCAATTCCATATACACAAAGAAGAAATAACCGCAACTTGTCAGCTTTATGTTTTGTCACTGTGACCAAACTACCCAACTTAAACTTAGAGGAGAAAAAGTTTTCCTGGGCTCATGAGATGAGGCAGAACATCATGGCGGAGGGCATGGTGGAGGGAAGCTGCTCAGCTCTTAGTGGTGGGGAAGCAGAGAGAAAGAGAGAGAGAGAGAGAGAGAGAGAGAGAGAGAGAGAGAGAGAGAGAGAAAGAGAGAGAGAGGGAGGGAGGGTGGGGAAAGGATGAGGTTGAAGAGAAGATAAACCCTTCCAGGGCACATACCCACTGACCTAATTCCTCCAACTATGGTCCCACCTCCCTATAGTCCATTCAGCTCTCTATGGATGAATCCATCAAATGAACTACCATGAGGTCATAGCCCTCATGATTCAACCATTGACCTAAAGCCCCACTACTGAACCTTACTGAATTGGGGACCATGGGTTCAGTAATGGGCTTTTGGGTGGACATTCCACATATCATGACATCAACCAATTTACTTAGAAAACAAAGAAGGGAAAAATATTCTCCTTGTGTTTTATGAGGCTTAATTTTGACACCATACCCATACCCTGCCCAAAACATCATTACTTTAATATTAAAGACCAATATATCTTGTAAACATAGGTAACAACAATCTTTATTAAACAATAACAAAATTAATATGATTATATATTATATATATAAATAAAATGATAATGCATCAGTGTGTGATGACTAATTTTATATCAATATCACTGGACTACTGTGTGCTGGATACTTGATCAAACATGATTTGGGATGTTTCTGTGTGTGTGTTTTTAAATGAGATTAATGTGCGAAAGAGTCGACTCAGATTGCCCTTCCTAATATGGGTGGACCTCATTCAAGTAGTTGAGGGCTAGAAAAGATAACAAGGCTGACCCTCCCTTGAGTAAAATAGAATCCTTCCTGCCTATCTTTGAACTGAGACACAAGTACACATCCATCAGAATAATGGAAATTAGAGACTGACAGAAGTAGTCAAAGAAAAGCTGAAACTTTTTTTCACTAGTGGTCAATATGTAAAGTGATACAACTATTTTGAAAAATGTTTGGCAGTTTCTCATAACAGGAAAAAAATGGCTACCTAAAACACCAAGCATTCTACTTCTAGGTACTGGCCCCAAAGAAATGAAAACATATGTTCACACCAAAACTTGTCTGTGAATACTTGTACCATCCTTATTTCCAATAGCCCTCAACAAAAATCTAATTACCCAAATTGCCCATCCATTGGGAAATAGAACTTCTCATTTGTGGAATAACCTGGAATATCCACTCAGCAATAAATGGAAAGGAACTGTTGATGAACCACTGCATGGGTGAATGGCAAACTATTGTTCTGAGGAAAGGAAGCCCAAAACAAAAGAGTACATTTTAGTGTGTGTGTGTGTGTGTGTGTGTGTTATGCATAGTAAACGGTTAGTGCTCACTGAGTTATGCAATTTATACAGAAGAAGTTTATTCTATGTAAATTATAACGCAAGGAAGTTGTTAGAGACAGTAAAATGATGAGTATTTTACTGGGGTTCAGAGGAAAGAAGAAGGAGGAACTAGGGGGAGCATGGGAAAATTTAGAATGCTGAAATTATTCTGTATGATATTGTAATGATGAACACATAACCTTATATATATGTTGAAAACTGTAGAATTGGGCAATGTGGTGAGTGAACCCTTGTGTATGTACTTTAGGTAATATGTCAATATTGGTTCTCAGTTGTAATAAATGCACCACATTAATGAAAGATGTTAATACTAAGGGAAACTGTGCAGGGAAGAGAAGGTATCTATCCTAGCTGCTCAATTTATCTGTGAACCTGAAACTACTCTAAAAACTAAAGTCTGTTAAAATAAATAAAAGGTAGAATCCCTTTACCTGAAATATAATATGGATTATCAGTCTAGCTCCTAGAATCATTTTCAAGTTAATTCATCCTCAAAACTTTGAACTGAGTTGAGAAATGAGCACTTTAATATAATTTTCAGCTTCATTGGGTTTTTCCTGTGAGTTACTTTTCCAAATGATGTGTGTATTTCATGAATCATATTCCTAATAAATGATTTCCTTAATCTTTAACCTTCATTTATTCCTCATAAAAAACCCACTGAAAAGAATCTAATTAGATTAGAAATGTCAGAAATGATTAATTGATTTTGATTAGAAGTGCCAAAAAATAAACTAATTTTTCTTTTCCACTTTTTTTTTTTTTTTTACTTCTATCCTTTTTTCTCTACGGGTGCCCCTGAAAGGGAGTTTCGAACCTTGGTCATTGAGATGGTGATGGCCACGGATATGTCTTGCCATTTCCAGCAAATCAAAGCAATGAAAACAGCTCTACAGCAGCCAGAAGCGTAAGTGGGCTGGTGACATAGTGTTTTCCCAGGTGTTTGAACTGGGACTTCCTTGTCCCTGTTGTACTGTAAAAGCACATTTCCTTCACATAACCTTGTTTTGGGTGCTCTCATAAAGTGGGGTGTTTGGAGGAGGGTGCATGAAAATTATACATATCTCACAATTAGGCATATTCTCATCAGAGTTGAAACAAACCATAGGGCCAGTAACCGTTTGCCCCTTAGAATTTAAAATAGTCCCTTGTGAACAATTAAATGATCAAAGATCCACTTAAGGCAAAGACAGGAAGTAAAAGCCTGTGATTCTTGGATCCTTGTCTTCTTGAATGATACAGCCATTCCATGAATGGGATGGAGTCAGAAGCATCCAGTTCAATAAACAGGGAGACCAAGGTGATGTGTACCCTCTCACTGGGCGAGATAATGCCCCTTTCCTTCATTTAGCTGAGTTTGCATTTGAGATGGGGGAATGGAAGGGATTTAAACCCTCAGTGATTTTTAAAATCCTTCTGAGGATAGATGTGTGGTCGTTGAGTGTGGCCACTTTGCTTTTCAGAATCGAGAAGCCCAAAGCCTTATCCCTGATGCTGCACACGGCAGACATTAGCCATCCTGCAAAAGCCTGGGACCTGCACCACCGCTGGACCATGTCACTGCTGGAGGAGTTCTTCAGACAGGTACCTTGTTGCTGTGCTGGTCATCAGGGCTGTCATCCCCGGGTATTTTAGGAAATTCATGTTTGGGGCCACTATGATTAGGACTCTTGACATTAGTTATTTTCTTCAGGTGGAGTGGTGGGTTTCACAGCTTTGATCCCTCCTTCCTGGATATATCATGTTTGAATCTTAGCCAAATTCTGATTCTCAGGACATTATAAAATGTATCTCTATCTTATACATTTCTGTTTAGAAGAAAAAGCATTTTCTATGTCATTTGAGGACCCCTCCTCTTTATTTTCTAATGAATTGAAAAAATGGTACTTATTTTGGCATTGACCTATGGGATTAAGTTGTTAATCTTTAACTCATGTCTATGTTACAATTGGTGGGGTGGAAACACCCAGGGTATTAAATTCCAAAACAAAGTGTGGTAAATCAGGGTCAGAAAATCATTAGACACTATTTTTCCAATTATATTTAAACTTAACCACATCTTAAGATCCAGAGTTGTGTTGTCTACAAGAATAGACAGAGTCTTTAATGAGTATACATTGCTTTCAAACAAATTTTAAAATACATATTTAGAACAGAGAAATAGGAAGGAAAATCATGCACATTACCAAGACCAAAGTCTTTTCAGTCTCAGGCATGTATACCTAACCTGGTCTCCAAAAGAATTGTGTTCAGACATCTGCGGAAGATATTAAGGCCTGGGGTTGAAAATGTAACATGTCAATGGTTGACTTAAGTTACAGTTAATTCAAGTTAATAAGGTTAATTCAATTAATTCTTCTTAATTGAAGAAGGGAAGAATAGGACATGGATTTGGAGGTATCTAAAATTCCATAAAATACTGCTTATTAGCACCAGTCTTACTTACCTTTGTCCCTTAAAACTGATAAGGGATAGGCTCTTTAGCTATGTCTTAGTCCATTTTCTGTGACAATAACAAAGGCCTAAGACTGGTTAATTTATAATGAACAGATATTTATTTAGAATTTGGTTCTGAAAGTTGGAAGTTCAAGACCATGGTGTGCATCTGGTCAGAGCCTTCCTGCTTCATCATAACATGATGGAAGGCACCACGGAACAAACCTGTGAGCTCAGGTCTTTCTCTTCTTACAAAGCCACTAATACTGTATGCCACTAATACTGTATGGTGGGGGGACCACCCTGATAACTTTATCTAATCCTAATTACCTCCCAAGTCTTCATTTTCAAATAAAGTAACATGTGACTTTAGGGATTAAGTTTTAAACATATGAAAATTTTGGGGGGAACACATCCAAACCGTAGCACACTGATTACAAAAGGTTTTTGGAGCAAATTACTCTTGTGATATTTCATAATCTTATGATTCTCATTTGAGGGGAGAAATTGTAGAATGCATCTCTGTGTATTTTGTTCCTTCTGAAGCTGTACACTCTGGTGATGAAGTGGGACTAGCGTCAACAGCATATACAAGTTAGAAAGCCTTTCATTTTTTTGTACAGTAGATTGAACCCGGAAGTGCTTAACCATTGAGCTACATACCCAGCCCTTTTTTATATTTTATTTTGAGACATGGTCTTGCTAAGTTGCTTTAGGGCCTCACTAAATTGCTGAGGCTGGCTTTGAATCCTTCTGAGTCACTGGGATTACAGGTGTACACCACAGCACCCGGCATCAGAAAACCCTTTATTGGAGTTTTTATTCCAATGAATTTGAGGCCTGGGAATAATCAAGTCACCCCTCTAATTCCTTATGGTCTTGCAATTGTTTGTTGAGGAGGATAAGGGGTTCTGGGTAAATTTGGACCAGTTTTCTAAGAGCCTTCCAACCTTAAGCACTCAGTTTCTTTCACTCTGTCCCTGGGGGCTCGTCCACATGTGCGCACTCATGTGAACCCACAAGCTGTTATATGGATACACCAGCAAGTGCCTTCTTCTGAATAGGGTCATTACCCATTGCAAAGTCAATGCCTGGTCTCCCAGGGTAGTTCTCAAAGGGAATTCTCAAAGTGAGTATGCAGAGAGGGGAGCTAGAACTTTCCAGGTGTGGCCCACTTGTGTATAAAAGCAGGACAGCAAATTCATCCTTCATTTAAGGCTTATTTTGAGCCATTTTCTCCCAGGGGCTATTTTTTCTAATAGCAGTGACAGAACTTTCTCCAAATACCCACTCCCCTGGCCATATGCTTACTTCCATATGACTTTTGTAATAAAACTCCCATTCAGTCCTTGACCAAAGGGTAGAACATAGCTAATCATTTAAGTTTGATGGATCGAAGTGATTTCCTCTTTTCAATTATGAGTGAATGACTTAAATATGTGAACATTTTCTTCCTATAAAGGAAACCTTGTTTGCATACATATACACATAAACTCAAGTTGAATAAAAATATGTTAGAGGCAATGCAAAACTAACCATATTGAACTCTTTTGCCTGTTGGGAATCTAATGTTAGCTCACTGGGTTGGAACTATGTTTAGTAATTATAAGTCAGTAAATTATTTTTATTGACTTAATATTTTAATTCAGATGTCATAAGCCATAGCAAGTAACCCAGTAGGAGAAATGTTGCCTCAGCTCTTAACAATAGATTTTAAATTGGACAGTTCAAATGGGAAATCTCAATGGGACTGTAGAGTCTTTTTTAAAATTGCATTTGGAAAGTCGGGTTATATTTCAAAATAAGGGCATAGCCTCAGTGCACATGGACCAGACCTTCCATACTTTACTAAAGAGGGCATTACATCTTCAGTTTTATATCCATAATTTATGCAATCCAAGCCATCGCTTCAGGATGCTTTTCAATGAAATATTGACTTTTAAAAAAGTATGTTTACCTCCTTGGCAAATACATCTTGTTGTAAAAGCTTGAGGTTCATTTCCTTTGTATTGCTGTATATTTTTATATTTAACAAACCTCTCTTTCAATTCTTAATTTCTTCTGTGTCTGTGATTGTTACCCTATTTGATTAGTTCACTTATTATGTTTTCCCCCTTCTTTCTCTACAAAATTACATAATTGCTTTATTGTTTTCTTTTTATTTAATACTGCTGTAATCACTGTTTCATTTTTATTAATTCATTCCTTCTGCTTGAATCTGTTTTGTTCTTTTTCTAATTCTGAATTGGATGCTCAATTCATTTACTTTCATTACTGCTTGTTTAGAAAACATGAAACTAGGAGTTTTTCTTTTTTTTCTATTATCAGGAATTTCATAGGTCTTGATATGCAGCATGTTTATTATTATTCTTTACTAAATATTCTGTAATTTTGGTTTTGATCTCTTCTAGCCAGCAGTTGCTTCAGATAAAGTTTTGTTTCATTGTTTATAATTTTTCAGTGGTATGTTTCTTTGTTTAAGAACTTTGTAATTAATTTTTGTTTATTGAATTTTGATGAAAGAATTTTTCCATTGTTTGGATCTTATTTTGAAATTTGTACATCAACTGCTACATAGTCAACTTTTGCAAGTGTTCTTTGCAAGTGTTCATGGATCATCAGAGGTAGATTTATTTCCTATTTTCAGGGTAATGTTAAAGGAAAACCAGGTACATCCATCCACCTTCTTAATTATGATATTTTGGTATTTTATACATCATTTTTAAAAATTTGAGCTATCATGGGCTGACAGGTGTTTCGATTATTTTCTATATGCTCTGTAATTTTTGCTTCACAAAATTTTATTTTTTGGGGGGAGGAGTACAAGAAAGTGAACTCAGGGACACTTGACCACTGAGCCACATCCCCAGTCCATTTATTTATTTATTTAATTTAGAGACAGGGTCTCACTGTGTTGCTTAGCACCTCACTTTTGCTGAGGCTGGCTTTGAACTCTCAATCCTCCTGCCTCAGCCTCCTGAGCTGCTGGGATAAAAGGCATGTGCCACCCTGCCTGGCTACATGCTGATTCTGTACCATTTAGTTTTGGGATGTTTGTAACTGTTAGACCCTCATAGTTTATTGTACCCTGCATCAGTATAAAGCCCACTTCTTTGTCTCATCTAGTGCTCTTCTTAGAATTCAAATTTAACTCACATGAAGAATCTGATCTTGTCTTTGCACATCTTTTTTACTTTTAGCCTTTATATTTTGATTTAGATGTGTATTAAATACTTTATACAACTGAATTTCTTAAATAAGTCAATCAGATGTTTTCTGTTGTATAATTGAAGGTAGCCACATTATCATCTATTGAAATGATAGGAATGTTTGATATTAATTACTCTCATATTTTATATTATGTTTTCTGTTTTTATATGTTTTTCAAAAATAGTTCATTATATTTTCTGGGCCACCTACTTTGTTATATATTTGGTTTTTCTGATTATCTCAAAATTTTATGTTTTAGTTCTTCTAGTGGTTAACTTGCTAATGAAAACTAAATTCTCTATTTATTCAGATAGTATTTATTGTCTCCATTATAAAAATTAGTAAATGTTGACCTCCCTTACCCCTTCCGCAATACCCACTTTATTTTTTTATATGTTTTTAAAATTTTTATTGATGCATACACATAAAAGTGGGATTCGATGTTACATATTTACACATGCACACAACATAACAATATAATCTGGTAAATTAATTTTTTATTTATATGTGACAGTGGAATGCATTACAGTTCTTATTACACATACGGAGCACAATTTTTCATATCTCTGGTTGTATACAAAGTATATTCACACCAATTCGTGTCTTCATACATGTACCAATACCCACTTTAGATGGCTTTAATATCTTGCTTACTTCTTGTGTCCCTTGATTATTAAGTAAAGCCCTTTTACTTTATATATCAGACATAAATGATATATTTTACCCTGTCTGTAAAAGACAAGGCAGTGATTCATACTTTCAATACCTGTTTCCTTTCCTTTCATAATGTAACTAATTCCTTGTTGCTGTTTTTTGGTTATATTATTTTCAAATTGTCCCAATATTTTAAGTGAGCATTCCCTTTTGTAGACTATATGGTGTACAAAAAGCACAGCCCCCCAAAATGTGACTGAGAAAGGTGGAAAAAAACAAACTTG